GGCTGTCGGGCCAACACCGCCACCATATAGAGTCCGGGAACGAAGTACTTGTGCTTCGATGTGAGGTCAGCGCTCCATTCCGTCGGATCGGTTCCGTCGCCGAAGTCCAGTGAATACTCCACTTCTTCGCCGCCGCCGACACTCACCTCAAAGCTCACCTCTTCGTCGATCGACACCTCTTCTGTTGAGCCTTTGATGGTGAGGCCTACGATAGGGTGCATCACTTGTCCCCTATAGACCCGCACGTACTCATCGCTGGTGTCGCACATTTCGACGGCCGCCTTGTCTATGGTCTCAATTAGTGGCCGGTCGTGTTCGTAGGCGCACAGGCAGTGCCGGTGCTGTTGATTGATTGCATAAATAGGGGAACAGTTTTATAGCAAAAGAACCTTATATTTAAAAATAAATTATATGTAAATATCGTATAATTATAAAAACCAGATTATCCTTACGTAAGATTAGTTCTGTAAATATGTTTTTTATAACTTTTTGTATTGACTTTTATCGGAAATGTGAGGCAAAAGTCTTGAAAGTCATGATAAGTACCGGTTTAATAATAATCCAATAGTTGTGGCACTTCTATGACTTGACCACAAACTCCACGACCTTTACGAGTGGTATAATTGTCGAGACTTATCACTATTTTTAGATAATTTTTAGTAATTAAATCGTGAACACAGTCTAAATAAGTGTGGCACAAATAGTTTGGTATTAATATTCTTACCAATTAATTAGTGTTATTTATTTAATATATGACAAATTTTTCAAATAACTTATACGGTATACATTTTATTTGAAAATTCATCAATTCGTTAAAAATTTAAATTATATATTTATAAAGTAATTTAATTAACGATTTATTAAATTAATAGCAAATTAATTTTAATGATAATATTTAAATGGTTTATGGTTTAATAGTACTTTGCATAATATACACTAATAATAATTTAATAAATAGATCACAATATGTGCTAAATTTAACCTAAATTTCAAATGTAAAGATTATTTTTGTGCAACACTTAAGAATAATCTAATAAAGCATTTCATATGAAGTAATGACTACTTGAGTGATTAGATAATTGAGTGATTGTCTTGTAACCTTTAATTATTTCCAAAACACAATAATTTGAATACATTTTTGAAATCAAGTGACAGAAATGTGAGGATCTATTGAGTGACTGATGAGCTATTAGTTGGCATTAATTGCAAAGAAATGTATGCTTTGTTTTGCGGTTTCATACACACCATTGACTTAATTGTGATTCACTGTTAAATTGGTGTGCATTTCATATGAAGTGGATTTTGTTTGTTCGCAATTCTTTGGCTTTAAATTCAATTACAATTACATGCCTTATAAGTGTTGTTAATGTTTGAGTACAAATGTATTAAATTCAATAAATATTTGGTGTGCATTTCATATGAAGTGGATTTTGTTTGTTCGCAATTCTTTGGCTTTAAATTCAATTACAATTACATGCCTTATAAGTGTTGTTAATGTTTGAGTACAAATGTATTAAATTCAATAAATATTCCGTAATTACAAGACAATAATCACACAAATAATTGAAAAACTAATTGTTTAACACTTTGAGAAACGTATCGATGTTTTCGCTCTAATATTTCTGACTATTTGTTAACAAAGAAGTTTGTAAACAAATTTGCGAAATCTATTTCTATTAATAGCTATATATTTATGAACAGACTTTAAATGCACAAATATTTGTTTTAAAAATTATTATGTTATATATTAAAATAGTGTAATAATTAGTGTAAATTCAGAGATTATTTATTGTATTGTCTCACCAACTTTTATCTCGGTAATTTACAGATTCATTTTAAAAATTGAGTACCTATGAGATTTTTATTTTACTTAATGTTAATAAATATTTTTAAATTAAAGAATATCATTGAAAACAATATATTTATTCATTTGAAAGATTTTTAAACAATTCATTGCATTTTATTTATAAATAAAAAATATAATTATTTTATTGATTTATTGGACTCTGATATCATATAAAATTCAATCGGTATTAATCTCATGATATCTATACAAAAGAGACAATTAATGCATTAATGAGTTAGCATTTGACGCAAATCTTAGCGCTTCAATGCGTTCCCAATGAATATAATGCTATAAATTTAAATGATTTTGTAACAAACAAACGGAATTTTGATTTATTAATTATTTGTTAGGCACGTATAAAAATCGTTTGTAAATCGGTGTTAATGATTACTTTACTCTAAGTCAAAGGTACCTCACTATGTTAGCATGAATTGGTCCGCAAACACACCAAACAAATACTTAAAATAAGTTTTCGATGCAATTGAGGGTCAGTTTAGCTACAGATTGATAACATGTAAGCAATATAATAGACAAACGATTTATTATACAATCAGAGAAAAATGCACAAAACTATCGGTTTTGTGATATACTGTTGTTTAATATATTTTTTGAGTATAACACCTATAATAAGAGGTCAGGTATATAGGCTACCGCTAACAGAGCCGATGGTCAGGAAACTGATGAAAGCCGTTAGCGGCCCGCCGATACTAAGGCCGCTGGCATACCTGCCAGTCGAAACGCGGCGGGAGACGCGGTTTCATACCTACGGGTTGGCGGGAGTGGTACAGCACCGGCACTGCCTGTGCGCCTACGAACACGACCGGCCACTCATTGAGACCATAGACAAGGCGGCCGTCGAAATGTGCGACACCAGCGATGAGTACGTGCGGGTCTATAGGGGACAAGTGATGCACCCCATCGTAGGCCTCACCATCAAAGGCTCAACAGAAGAGGTGTCGATCGACGAAGAGGTGAGCTTTGAGGTCAGTGTCGGCGGCGGCGAAGAAGTGGAGTATTCACTGGACTTCGGCGACGGAACCGATCCCACGGAATGGAGCGCTGACCTCACATCGAAGCACAAGTACTTCGTTCCCGGACTCTATATGGTGGCGGTGTTGGCCCGACAGCCTCAACACCTCAATAGACGGGTGATGTCCGAAGTGACGTACGTTAGAGTGACCGCCGAATTGGTCAATGAGAACATACACTTCAAGTGCCCCAAAGTCGTCGAACCGGGAGATCCGGCCCTCTGTAACCTCACCGTCAATGCCGGGCAACAGATGGAGATGACTGTCGACTTCGGTGATGGCTCGCCGGCGCTTCCCATACCTCTGCCCGGTATATGACATTCAATTATTTATGGAAAATTGTTTTTTACTCAAATTTAATATGAATTTTAGTTTTTGAGTAAATTAATGATAATAATTATTTAGTAAATCATTTTTACTTAAAATTAATGTTTACTAATCAGACGTACCGGTGCGGGCACTGGGCGTAAATGTACCGCAATATAAGAACTCAAAGGTCACGTATGGAACCGCTTTGAAAGCCGAAGAATTGCTTATAATTCCTTTGGATGAAAAGTCATTGGATTCTTCGGCAGCCATTCAGGCACTGGAAGGCTATGGGGCGGCCCCGGGAAATATGCAAGTGTTTGTACGTAGAGTAGTTAAAACCTAAAAATTTTATGTTAAATTTATTATCAATTCAATTATCCTATGTAAAATCATTTTAAATTATGTCATATTGATAATTTCGTTTTTCAAAAAATATAAATGTTTAATTTAAGAGACAGTTTAAAGGTCAGGGATCAGGGTTTCATTTACAAGATTTTAAACCTTATATAATATACGAGAAACTCTGAACTACTGTATTAAATTGAATAAAACTCCAAAAGGTACTTGTCTATTCAAGTAGTACTCGTAATACAAAATTAAATTGAAATAACATTAAATTTTTATTGAAAATATGATAGCATGACATGTTATCAAAATTAAAATTAATTAAAATTTATAATAAGCTAAAATGAGCAATGTGCAATCCTAATTTATTATTAAAATTATGTCAAAACCTACAGATCTTACGGAAGGTATGTCCGGAAGGGGCCGAATGCAGCGGACACGGCATCACATGCTTCGAGCCGTCGGCCCTTTGCGTACTAAACAAGGGCTGTTCGGACAGTTGTCATCCCTTCCCACCCCAAAAGACCTCCTATTCCATAGTCAAGACATTCACACTAACCATAACTGAGGGCCACTTCTACCTGAAGTCGAGTTCATCGTTCCGGATGACGGCCGGGGATGTGTTAGCTATCCGTAGCGACGGCGCACAGTTAGCGTACCGGCCGGTTAAGAGTGGCGAGACTCCCGACTACATCACCGAACACTCGGGCGACGGACCCATCTCTTCGGACAACTTCCGCGAAGTCAAAGAAGTCAAACATTTCATCCGAGCCATAGTTAGCGAACCGTTAGCACTGACCGTCCCTCACGAGTACGTGGACAGCGGGCACTATGGCATCAAACTGTCCGTTAAGAACCGATGGACACCCAAAGACATCACTCGCGAGAGCTCTATCAACATCCAGAGTACTATCTCGAAGATGAGACTTACGGTGAACCCACCGGACGCGTCGGTCGACCAGAGGGTAGACATCACTATTCAGTTGAATAAGGGCTCAAATATTAAGGTGTTGTGGGATTTCGGTGACGGAACGGTAGTCACAGATCAGATACCCGGTCAGTGAAATGACTAACTGTCCCACGAGTTCTAGTGTTTTATAATTGTTTATAATTGCCTTTTAATTAGACATCAAATCGAGTCAAAGATTTATGAAGAGCTATAAGTATAGTCAGCCGGGTGTGTATGACATACGAGTAAAGGCTGAGAATCTTCAGGGAGAGACATCCACTCATCACCAGCTGATCGCTGAACACCCGGTCCACAAGAATTGGAAAATTGTGTCCAATTCACCACAACTGTTGCCTGGATATGTGGACATCAACTTCACATATCCTATCGATAAGATATTGCCCACCAATGCTTCCACTATCATAGACTTCGGTGATGGGAAGCGCGAGGTATGGCCGGTGCCCGACACCGAGTGGGAGGGACTACATGTGGTGCAACATGAGTACGAAAAGCCCGGCAAATACAACGTTAATCCAATGCTTCCACTATCATAGACTTCGGTGATGGGAAGCGCGAGGTATGGCCGGTGCCCGACACCGAGTGGGAGGGACTACATGTGGTGCAACATGAGTACGAAAAGCCCGGCAAATACAACGTTAAAGTGAACATGTCCAACATTGTCTCGAAACAGATCCGCAGATTTCAGGTGAGATAATAACTGAATTTCGATGGTTTGGTTACCATATGTTGTGTCCTCTCATTGATAGGTGGATGTCTTGAGACGTATCACTGGTCTGAAAACTGTGGCTAAGTATCTGAATCCGGACAGGGGTTATGTGGGAGGCATCGGTCAAAACGCCGATTACTTCCCGATTGACAGACAAATCAACTTTACTTTCGCCACAAAAACAGGTGATATTGAGTACTATGTCATCGAAATGAATGGTCAGCCACTGAAGAACTCCACAGACAATGTCACTTCGTTTATAACTCATGAGGTTTGCCATCAATAGTCTATCATTAGATTTAAATTATTTATTAATGGCTTCATAAACACCCACAAAATAGCCTGGATTCTATAACTTCACATTCTATGGCTATAATGCCATTCAAAAGTCCAATGCTTCCACTATCATAGACTTCGGTGATGGGAAGCGCGAGGTATGGCCGGTGCCCGACACCGAGTGGGAGGGACTACATGTGGTGCAACATGAGTACGAAAAGCCCGGCAAATACAACGTTAAGGTCAACATGTCCAACATTGTCTCGAAACAGATCCGCAGATTTCAGGTGAGATAATAACTGAATTTCGATGGTTTGGTTACCATATGCTGTGTTCTCTCATTGATAGGTGGATGTCTTGAGACGTATCACTGGTCTGAAAACTGTGGCTAAGTATCTGAATCCCGACAGGGGTTATGTGGGAGGCATCGGTCAAAACGCCGATTACTTCCCGATTGACAGACAAATCAACTTTACATTCGCCACAAAAACAGGTGATATTGAGTACTATGTCATCGAAATGAATGGTCAGCCACTGAAGAACTCCACAGACAATGTCACTTCGTTTATGACTCATGAGGTTTGCCATCAATAGTCTATCATTAGATTTAAATTATTTATTAATGGCTTCATAAACACCCACAAAATAGCCTGGATTCTATAACTTCACATTCTATGGCTATAATGCCATTCAAAAGAAGTCTAAATCATATAGTCTTCCGATATATCTGTTGGAACCGATCGAAGGCCTGGAGGTCTACGACGTGTCCAACGATACGGTAGAGCCGGAGATCAAACGATTTGTGGTTGAGTTCAACAAAATGGGCACAAATTCCTGTCTAATCGTCGATTACGGCCAAAACAAAGCTGAGATCGAGGCGTTCGGCGACTCCCGGAGCTGTCGGCTGACGTTCCCCGACGTGAAGTACACTTTGATGGGAAACCTAACGAATCCATTGGAGATATCGAAACAGTATGAGAAGCCTAAGGACTATCGACTGAAGTTTTCAGTGGCCAATCAGATATCAAGCGCTGCCCGGGATGTGTCGGTCACTGTCATCGGTTTGTATATTCAATTAATCCATTGGAGATATCGAAACAGTATGAGAAGCCTAAGGACTATCGACTGAAGTTTTCAGTGGCCAATCAGATATCAAGCGCTGCCCGGGATGTGTCGGTCACTGTCATCGGTTTGTATATTCAATCAATTAGTGTCTAAATAATTGCCTTGATGATGCCTAAATAGTGTCTTGATCACATTTGAGTGATAATTGTTTTATGAAACCAATGCAGAGATCGATTGCAAGCCTCCGCTCCTAAGTATCCGAAACCGAGTGACGAATTGGCGGAAAGGCATTGAGTTCTGGAAGTCAAAGCCCATCCAACTCTTCTCCAAGACCATAGTCGACTGCAACGCCACGACAGTCGTCACCCGCGTGTGGGACGCCTATAGGCTGGAGGAGGAGAACGGGACGGTAGCCGAACGGGTCGACCTGTCCGAGCTGGACTCGTACCGCAAGAGTTTTCTATATGTGCCGCCGTTTTTTCTACCGGACGGGTACTACAAGTTCCAGTACTCCATTAACATGACCAGCCCTGAGCCACACCCACTTCTACCGTTTTACGCGTCGGCCTATACTTTCGTTAAAGTGGTTCGCAGTCCTATCGCCGCACAGTTAGCCGAAGGGGCGCAGTCACGTGTCATCAGGGGATGGGGTCAGAGGTGAGGCCTTCAAACTTTTATATTCTTATAAGTATTTGTAACCTAAACTTCTTGTGCTCATCACACCATAGGATCCGTTTCGCACCGGGAGAGTACTCTAGAGATCCCGACGATGAGAATAACAAGAACTTTGAAATTAAATGGTTCTGCAGACGAGTACCCGATGAGTACATCAACGCTAACCTACCGGACGAGAGACAAAATTTCTCGGAACCACTGTATGATCGCACCGGTATTGACGAAGAATGGGACGACAGCGACGGCGGCGGCTGTTTTGGCGGCGGACCCGGTATATCGAGAGCACCGGACTTAGTCTTCAGCGGATAATCAATAACTAGTATTTATCTCATAATTTTAGGCCGAATTAATATCACAGGAATGGAGATCGAGTGGAACACCACTGTATTCCGTAGGCCGGGACTCACCTTCGAGGTGGTCGTGCAGATAATACCTCCGGATAGGGCTCCTTCATGGGGTGCCCTGCAAATGGTCTTGCTCAAACGTCGCCCGCCCTCCATCATTGTNATTAATATCACAGGAATGGAGATCGAGTGGAACACCACTGTATTCCGTAGGCCGGGACTCACCTTCGAGGTGGTCGTGCAGATAATACCTCCGGATAGGGCTCCTTCATGGGGTGCCCTGCAAATGGTCTTGCTCAAACGTCGCCCGCCCTCCATCATTGTATTGTGTCAGACACAGGCCCTGTGTTTCCCGCACTTCCCGATCGGTCAGAAGATTAATCCGGTGAGAGTGGGACTGGAGGGCAAGTGTCGCGAGAACTGTGATGGAGAGCTCCGGTACGAGTGGTCCATATATGGTGTCGACAACAGCACCCAAGAGATACTGCTGCCTAACGCCAGCTATTACGTGGTGGGCGCCTACGAGCCCAAAATGGCCCTGGGCATCGAGTTTTTCTCAGAATACTACCCCATGTTTAAGGACTTTTTCGCCCGACTCTGTATGTGTTTTCCCGACCTGACTGTCCCTTTGTTTTATTGAATTTTTATTTTGTGTAAAGCGGTCACTAATGAGGACGGAGTGGCCGGAGAGTCCGACATATTTTTGCACATCAATCAGCCCCCAGAGGGAGGCGAGTGTACCCTTACACCAGACACGGGGTATGCTCTGTTGGACAGGTTCAACGTCCGGTGCTCTGATTGGATGGATCCCGAAGACAAACCTATTGAGTATTACGCCTTCTGGGCGCGTAATATAGACACCGGGAATGTCCAGTATTTGATGTACGGACCCGACCGCTNTGCTCTGTTAGACAGGTTCAACGTCCGGTGCTCTGATTGGATGGATCCCGAAGACAAACCTATTGAGTATTACGCCTTCTGGGCGCGTAATATAGACACCGGGAATGTCCAGTATTTGATGTACGGACCCGACCGCTACACCACTCTTATCCTCCCGTACGGTAACTTCACTATCGGTGCCGACATTAAGGACAAAGAGGGAGCCGTCATAAGAGTTAACATCACAGATGTGTCCACTCTATTGCCAACCCGTAAAATGTACGACACTTTCATGAACTCCAAGTCATTGGACAACACCGACGCTGCAGGAGATCAGGTTTGTAATGATTTGTGTGGTTTTTGATGGTAGTACTCATGGTTTTATTGTTTTGCGCGATGTAGGCACAAATGAGCATGGTAACACAGGCATTATCATCGCTGATGAACGTTAAGATGCCCCGCGAGAGCGCCACCACTACGACCACCACCACCACAACGACGACCACTACAATGGCCGCACCTGTCAGTGACGAACTCACAGAGAAGGAGATCGAAATGGCGGCCAAGACTAGGGCCCGGATGGTTAAGTCGGTGGAGGCCATCATGAATGTGGACACTCTTAACAGTTTGGAACAAATCGGCAGTGCATTGACATCATTGGCCGGTAGGGGCGAAGGTATCGACAATGAGGCTAAAGAAGTGATCATCAAATTGTTGAATAAGACGGTGACGATGGCGGCCACCGTTCAGGTGGAGAGCCCTCAACAGCTCATCGACTTCTTGACCGTGAGTTTTGTGACTCAAGAGTTTGTGTCTTAATTGAAACCTGTGTTTTATGTCTTCAGTTCGCCGTCGGAACTATGGGTGGAATCGTTAACGTAAGACATCTGTTGTCTCTTTTATACAGAATTTTTCAATTAATTAAAATTTTTCGTCAAACCAGAGAATGACTGAACAAATCATTTCGGGTGTCGTTATGCCTACCGATCGGTCAAAGGCCTGGAATTTGGATTATAGTGTAGAAGTGCCCGATGAGGACGAGGAGCCGGGTATTTATGAGCAATTTATTTTTCACTTAGTCTCATAACTAACGCATATAATACCGGTGCCAACCGTTAGACTACATAATGGACAGCAAGACGTCAATCAGCGACGCCCTCGAGAAAGCTGTCATCCAATCGGAACGAAAAGGGGCCGAACTGAGGCTAAAGAAGTGATCATCAAATTGTTGAATAAGACGGTGACGATGGCGGCCACCGTTCAGGTGGAGAGCCCTCAACAGCTCATCGACTTCTTGACCGTGAGTTTTGTGACTCAAGAGTTTGTGTTTGAATTGAAACCTGTGTTTTATGTCTTCAGTTCGCCGTCGGAACTATGGGTGGAATCGTTAACGTAAGACATCTGTTGTCTCTTTTATACAAAATTTTTCAATTAATTAAAATTTTTCGTGAAACCAGAGAATGACTGAACAAATCATTTCGGGTGTCGTTATGCCTACCGATCGGTCAAAGGCCTGGAATTTGGATTATAGTGTAGAAGTGCCCGATGAGGACGAGGAGCCGGGTATTTATGAACAATTTATTTCTGACTTAGTCTCATAACTAACGCATATAATACCGGTGCCAACCGTTAGACTACATAATGGACAGCAAGACGTCAATCAGCGACGCCCTCGAGAAAGCTGTCATCCAATCGGAACGAAAAGGGGCCGAACTCCAGATCCGGGCTATGATTGAGTTGACCATCAAATTGGTGCTCTCTATGCTCAGGAACATCGTTGTCGGCGAAAAGCCCATTGAGTTCGTAGCCCCCAGTGGGCTCACCCTCACGATCGCGATGTTTGTATTCATTTCGTAATAGAAGTCCAAACATTATTTGAGTTAACTTTCTCCCATCGCACAGGTATTCAAAGGGTTCGCTATCCAACCAAACCATACAACACGGCGACGCTGTCTATGTGTTTCCCGATGTGTGCGATATATTAGCCAATAGTGGGGACCAGTGTCTGGGAAACGAGACATTGGGAACATTGGTATGTATTAAGCATCTGTCAAACATTAATCTTTAATAACAATTTAAAATGTTACCTTGATGTTTTATTATTAAAATCATGACACCTTCGATCCACCCAATAGGCAGTCTCATGGCCTGCTATACTCGAGTCGTACGGAAATAGTGTAGACCTGTTGTCGGCCGACACAAAGACACTGCAATTATTGGTACTCAACGAAAGCCTACACATACTGGAGGTGCGGAACACCAGCAAACCGTTTAGTATAATAGTGCCCCGAAATGGCGCCGACGGGTCGGAAGGCAGTCAAGCTCTGCCCGACCCGACGTACGTACAGCCGAAGATCAAATGGTACGAACAGATGGTTTACCACCAGTTTATGATCGAGAAGTCAGATTCTGCGGTTAATATAGAGGTGGGCCCCACCAACCCTAACGCTGAGGTACTGCTGTTCATTAAGTATCTCCACAAACCGATGTACGACTACTACGACATACTCATACCTCTGAGGGCTATTAAGTCCCGGTTCACCGACACGTACGACATATTCCTGTCCAATGAGATCATCAACAATAGGACCGGATTTTTCTACGTCGGTGTGGTTGAGGTGAACCGCACAGAGCTGTTGAGGTCCAGTGAGGCCTACCTTCTCGACGAGATTATTGTCAATGAAAATAACTCTTTGACTAACTATACGGCCGGTGTCTCTAATTACACCCTTCCGGGCATTACCAGAGATTTCAGCACTAATTACTCGATGAGGATCTTCACGTCCGGCTGTTATTTCTATGACTACCACAAGAAGATCTGGTCAGCAGATGGATGCCATGTGGAGTCGGCCAACCAGTTGATGACACATTGCAAATGCAACCATTGTATGCAATCATTACAATTATACTATAATTTTAGATAATTTTGTATCCGGATTATCTAATTTACTAAACTTCACCCAACAGTGACCTCATTTGGCTCCGGGTTCTTCATTCAGCCCAACTCTATAGACTTCTCTTATGTCTTCGCGAACGCCGGGTTCGCCGACAACGTAACCATTTATATGACAATCGCTATAACGATGTTATTATACGTAATACTATTAATATGGGCGCGACGTGAGGACCGACTCGATCTGACCCGAATCGGGGCCACACCTCTGCCCGACAACGACCCCACCTCTAAATACCTCTACGAGATTACGGTGTTTACCGGCGACCGGGACGCGGCCGCCACCGACTCCAAGGTTTACTTCATACTGTCCGGCGATGACGACGAGACCGAAGTCCGACACTTCGAGGACCCGAACCGCAAGATATTCCGCATGGGAGCCAACGACTCGTTTGTGATGGCTGTGCCCCGCAAGTTGGGTCGACTCAACTACTGTCGCATATGGCACGACAACTCCGGCTCCGGTAAATTCAGGTCGTGGTTCCTGTCGTTCATTGTGGTCAGGGATGTGCAGACGGGCGAGAAGTACGAGTTTATATGCAATAAGTGGTTGGCTGTGGAGAAGGACGACGGCATAGTGGACAGGCTGTTGCCAGTGGCCGGCAGGGGTGAGGCCACAGAGTTCACGCATCTGTTCAATCAGACGACACAGAAAAACCTGGCCGACGGTCACCTGTGGTTCTCTGTGTTCATGAGACCCCCGCGCTCTCGGTTTACACGCGTACAGCGGGTGTCCTGTTGTATGGCTCTCCTATACCTATCAATGCTGGTGAACGCCATGTGGTACGAGAGGGTGCCTCCCAAGCCGTCCAGTGGTCTCGACTTCGGGCCCTTCACGCTATCGCCCGAACAGATAGGCGTCGGCTTCTTCTCCAACCTAATCGTCTTTCCGCCGACTTTTATAATCATATTCTTCTTCCGCAAGAGTCGACTCCGACAGTTGAGACCCTCGAGGATCAGCGAAGCCCTTAAGAAGCAGAATATATCGCACCGTCAGGGCAGCGCCGGTAGTCAGCGATCTATAATCAGTTCCAACAATAATAAGATCGGCTCTAATGTCACGCTCTGTGCCGTCGATGAGCCTAAAGATCGCCAGAATTCGTTTGAAATGTTTGAGAAGCGCTCGACGACCAAGAAGTTGGCGAAGAAGAAGCCTAAGCTTACCCTTCCCTACTGGTGCCGATACGTGGGTTGGGCCCTGTGTTTCGTGTCCATCGCGGTGTCGGTGTTCTTCTTGTGGGCGTATGGCATACAGTTTGGTGACGAGAAGACCAAGAAGTGGATCACTTCACTCATCATCTCGTTCTTCGCGTCCATTTTAGTCACACAACCGGTCAAAGTGTTCATAACAGCCATGATTTTGTCGACTCTATTCAAGTCGCCCGACAATGATGTGGACGACTCGGAGGACGACGAAGAGGATGTGGACATAGATCTGCTCGAAGACGAGGAATGGCTGCACTGTTCGACGCCCGCCCGCAAGAAGGACAGGTCTCGGGTCTATCGGCCTCCGAATATGACTTCTCTCGAGCGGACAAAACTCCAGAGACTCAAAGAGCTGAAGATGTCGGCGATTCTCAAAGACATCGGTTCTTACCTATTCTTCCTATGGATCCTAACTGTTGTCAGTTATGGTAATAGAGATCCGAATGCATTCCTCATGAAAGAGACATTAGTGAAGACGTTTGTGGACGGAACCAATGGCGGCCAGAACTTCTTGGCTGTCAAGGACGCCAACCAGTTGTGGTCGTGGAGTAACTCCACTCTAATACCCGGCTTATTGATTGGCGATTGGTTTGTTACAGAAACTATACATTTGTCTTAAGTATTAGATCAGATGTGAACTCACTTTGTATTTCAATTGATAGGTATAACGGATACAAATCCTACGGATTGCGAGGTTTCCTAAACGATAGGGTGAACCGAATGATGGGTTACGGAGTGCTCCGTCAGGTCCGCATTAAACCGCAGACCTGTCAGGTGGACAGTCGTCTCCGGCCGCTGACCACCAGTACGTGTCGAGCGTTCGCTAATATGATTAATGAGGACCGCAAGAGCTATAGAGTCGGTTGGACTCAGGAGTCGGATCTCTCGTATGTCAACGAATCACTTCCGATGAGCCGAAGCGGAAACCTGAACCCATCCCGCAGTAAGAAAGACGAATGGAATTACCGAAAGCCATCCGAGTTGGACGGACTGCCCTTCTGGGGTCGGTATCTATAATACATTTTATTTATTGTTAATTCATTTTATGGAAATTTGTTGAAAAGAATTCTCACATTAATTATTATAATTACTGTGTTTACAATAATTAAGGATTTATGGGTTAATTGCTTTAACAATCGTTAAGTTAAACACAAATTCTTTGTATTAATTCTAGGAATTCATTAGGAATTTAATTAAATTATAATTTATTTATAGAATAATTAGGAATTACTTCAGAAAAGTACGGTAGTCACAAAAAAGTGAATGCTTTTCATTAAACAAATACAGTACTTATTTCATACTTTCATTAATCCTTTCTTTCAATGAATTAAATCCCTGAAGAGTATAAGACTACTGTAACAAGACTTCACAACAAACAGTCAATTAATAGTAATTTTAAAATAATTTACTTTTAGGAAAACTCGATGTCTATAGCGGAGGCGGTTTTGTGATCGCTTTGAAGGTATATTTCTTTTATGTAACATGAATCACTTCCGATGAGCCGAAGCGGAAACCTGAACCCATCCCGCAGTAAGAAAGACGAATGGAATTACCGAAAGCCATCCGAGTTGGACGGACTGCCCTTCTGGGGTCGGTATCTATAATACATTTCATTAATTGTTAATTCATTTTATGGAAATTTGTTGAAAAGAATTCTCACATTAATTATTATAATTACTGTGTTTACAATAATTAAGGATTTATGGGTTAATTGCTTAAAAATCGTTAAGTTAAACACAAATTCTTTGTAGTAATTCTAGGAATTCATTAGGAATTTAATTAAATTATAATTTATTTATAGAATAATTAGGAATTACTTCAGAAAAGTAAGGTAGTCACAAAAAAAGTGAATGCTTTTCATTAAACAAATACAGTACTTATTTCATACTTTCATTAATCCTTTCTTTCAATGAATTAAATCCCTGGAGAGTATAAGACTAACAAGACTTCACAACAAACAGTCAATTAATAGTAATTTTAAAATAATTTACTTTTAGGAAAACTCGATGTCTATAGCGGAGGCGGTTTTGTGATCGCTTTGAAGGTATATTTCTTTTATGTAACANGAATTAAATCCCTGGAGAGTATAAGACTAACAAGACTTCACAACAAACAGTCAATTAATAGTAATTTTAAAATAATTTACTTTTAGGAAAACTCGATGTCTATAGCGGAGGCGGTTTTGTGATCGCTTTGAAGGTATATTTCTTTTATGTAACATTTTTTTGCAATTATAAATATTCAGTGAATTCATTTAAACATTAATAGCTTATAAATACACACAATATGTACAAGACTATTCAGTGATCAATGTTATGATCGTATTTCTTAAGAATTTTCATCAAAAGTTGTTTTTTAAAAGAAAAGTTCAGACTATTTATTAGGGAAACTCGAGAACTGATTAAATTTTTGTTTTTATTTTATGTTAGAGTTTAGTATTAATTCTTATTCACAGAATCCCACGAATTTCAGTGCAATGCTATCCATTGATTAAGTCATGAATAGAGATTTTATTTCAATGTCTAATATATACAATAATTATTTGCTAATCATTGACGTTAATAGTAAGCATTAAATTCTATTTATAACTAAAGTTAAGTAATATTAGAAGTTTATTAATAACTTAAATCTAATAATTTTTGTAATAATCTTATCTAGTGTATATTAATGTATCTAGATCAACACAATGTACATAATTGAATTCTTGATAATAATTAAGTTACATTAAATATTTTTTATATTGAAAATTAAAAAACGAAAAACCAATTAATAGACAAAACATAAAATTACAAAAAACATAAGAATTATGAAATGATCACTAAATCATAACTATAATCACTGACACAATACCCTAACCACTAATCTATCGGCACATGTCAGGGCTCGCGAGAGGAACTGTCGGACAAAATAAAATCTCTGAAGCAAACCCAATGGATTGACGGTCGATCCCGGGCCATATTTGCCGAGTTCTCGGTGTACAACGCCCAGGTGAACCTGTTTGGCATCGTATCCATGGTGGCCGAGTTCCAGCCAGGTGGTGGCATCATTCCCAACTATCGCATTGATGTGGTCCGCCTTATGCGGTACCACCAGGGCTTCGGTCTATTCATCATTCTCTGTGAACTCACTTATGTCGGATTCATTGTCTTCTTTACGGTTCGGGAGTTCAAGAATTGGCGAAATCAGGGCCGCAACTACTTCAAGAGCTACTGGAACTGGGCTGAGGTGATCATGATCTGCCTGTCCTACGCGGCCATGGTGCTCTACGTCTATAGGATAATACTCACGCAACAGATACTAAGCGTGTTTAACACCACTCATGGCAACGGATACGTGAAGTTACAGTACGTGACCACAATTGACGAGATGTTCGGCTATATCATCGCATTCACCACTTTTGTGGCCATTTTGAAGTTCATCCGTATCTTGAGATTCAATAAGCGAATGGGTATTCTGTACTCAACGCTCAACCAGTGCTCCAAAGACCTCAAGTCATTCTGCATTGTCTTCTGCACCGTATTCTTCGCGTTCGTCCAAATGTTTTACCTCTTATTTGGTCTACAGATCAGCGATTTCTCGTCGTTTGTCGTAAGTCTTTGACATTTGACTTTTGAATGCAATTTGATTTATAAATACTTTATTTTGTTTCTTAAGAACTCGGCTGAGACTACGTTCGGAATGGTTACAGGTATGTGCTATTATGATTGATGGGGACAGGGATGTACCCAAAGTACTTTGAGTTTGTTTAGTAATTAATGGATAAACTGAAATGGAAAACAGATTTTTGCTTTGAAGATAAAACACATTTTAAAAGTATTATAACGAAAGCGTCACTTATATAGTGAGAGACAGAAGAAAATGTGTTTTTATTAGTAATCAATTCATTATTTATAATCGAAAACAAATCCTTTAAAAGATCTGCAAAATGATTGATACTCTTGCGAGCAATACATTCAATGCTTTTAGTGATAATCTATTATTAAACTAAAAGTGACCCAATTTTTAAGCAAATAGTCTCTAAGAGACAAGAATAAGATTTATATTCAGATTTTGTAGGCTATTATTAAATGCTATATACAATAAGTATTGAATAAAGTATTCAACGAATTGAGTTAATTATGTAAGCATTTAGTCAATAGACTGACAGCACAAACAAAAACAAACTCTATTTCTAAATACATGTCAAACACTTGAATGTGGTTTTAGTTGGAATAGGAAATGAATGGACAGTATTTGACAAACAAAAACTTCAAATGAATTAACATAAGATCACCTAGATAACCATTAAATACCTTATAATCACAAATAACTAAATGTATGATTAAATTGTAGGAAAGTTTGATTTCGATGCCATATCCGCAGCGTCACCCCTATTGGGTCCGTTAGCCTTCTTCGTGTTCGTGTTGGTGGCGGCCATAGTATTGATCAATATATTCCTCACTTTAATCATCTCTGCCTTCGAGTCCGTCAAACACGATGTGATGAAACAGAACAACGACTACGAGATCATGGACTTCATGATGAAGAAAGTGAAGGGAATGTTTGGTTTGGCGACCGCCGATCCCGGGGCCGGTGCTGGAGATGCCGACGACACGGCCAACACCATTGAGGAGCAGTTGACTCTATTCCCCGACAAAATCGATCGTCTCTTGCATTATATCAATGATATGTATTTCGACGGACAACTCGACGTCAATAACAAGAGCGCCGTTAGGCGTATGGCACTCAACGCTAACAGAGCCCGAGTGACCCCAACACCGGTCCCACCGCCCACTGCCGGCGGTCGCAGGAGAGCCCGGGGCCGACAGAGTCAGGCAAATCTGGCCGCACGGCTCAGTCAACCCAAGATTCAGGTCTTGGATTGGATGGAAGTGGACGAAGACGCGAAGAAATAGGTTTAATGGCTATCTATTGGATCTATTGGATCAATCTATTGGATGGATATGTTTTTAATGTATGAATTTTAATGAACTGTTTGTTTAATAATCAAAAAGTGTCACATTTACTATATATGCAAAAATATTTCTACTCTAATCAATAGTTATTAATAATTAATGATTACTTCACTTTAGTTTTGCACTCTATTTCTAACTGTTATACACTTTTACTATACTATTAAGTTGTTTATTCTGTTTATTATTAATTATTAATAACGTTAAAATTCTATATTTAATAATGTAATGCTTAGATAATATTGTATTTCAAAATATTATATATGCAAAAATTGTTATCAAATAAATTACTGCTATTTTCGAGAATATTAAAAACCGTTTAATTATTCATAAAAACTTTAGAGTGTACAATGTAATATCATAATAAAAACTTTTGTTTATTTATAATTTATAGACATAAAAATAACATTTGTTTTGATTAACATTACACTTTTGTGCAAACATTTGACACAGTAATGCAAAATGNAATTATTCATAAAAACTTTAGAGTGTACAATGTAATATCATAATAAAAACTTTTGTTTATTTATAATTTATAGACATAAAAATAACATTTGTTTTGATTAACATTACACTTTTGTGCAAACATTTGACACAGTAATGCAAAATGCAGTCTAATGCACATAAAACCTACAGAATGTGTAAAAAATAGCCTAGTGTATAAAATTGCTTCATTTCAACAAACAAATGACTTTGAGATAAAATTGAAAAAAACTTTTCAATCAATATTTGAATGTGTTTTTTGTGTGTAAATATTTACTTAAAGTTGACAACAATTCCTATCATTAATATAATTATATTGAATGATAATTACATTAATGTTTAAACATGTTTTGCCATAAAGTCA